CTACATCACCTTTCCATTTAGAGGTGATTTATTAAAACAAAGGCTTAAGTCAGTCATTAACAAGACGCGTTACGCAGCAAAGGTCATTATCAAGGAAAGAACAACATCCATGCTTTGTCGCCACATCCCACTATGTTTAACAATTTAAATGTTTGTGTGGTCACACATACATATGGGGGAGTATTTGTGACCTCAACATTAGAGTATGTGAACATGTACCTAAATGATTGGAGAAACAAATAGAATAGAATGACCCAATGAAAGTAGAGGATAAACATCCATCATCCTCTATTACCAAAAAAACAGGTCATAAAACTGATCTTTTGTGGTGTTATACAAAAGTGTTAAAGGGCGTATACTAAGGTTCAATGCTTTCAGATTTTCAATGGTTGATCTAACACCGATTGTCTCATGAATTCAACACTTAAATTAATTTTGTTTCTAATAATAAATAGTCAACAATTTCAATGCCCATTTTTATTACTCAAATTTATATTCCATTTAAATAAGAGAATAAATGAATGATCCATTCAAATTTCATAAAAGAACCATTATTTAAATCAATCATGGAAACAAACAAAGGTGGTGAGGGAGGAGGAGGAGGAGGAGGACATGACAATAACAATTAGAATTGAGACATTAACTCTAACTCCCTCTCCCCCATGCTCCTCGTTCTCCCTCTCCCTTCTTTGACAATATGAAATTAGATACTGTTTTCTATATTACTATGTGTCATTTATGTTTTCAATAGATGACAGATGAATGATTAATTTAACTTATTGTATGTATATTGACATAGTTACATATTCTGTAATGTTCTGTAGGGTTATATTGTTCCCTTTAATTTTTAGATAGTAAATAATTGACATTTTTAATTATTGACTGAAAGAGACAGTTTGATTATAAAGAAACTTACTTTAGATAAACAATTATGTAATACGAATCCAGGACCTATCAGTCTCGTGCCAGGCGCCTAACTAACTAGACCACTGAGCCGGCATCCAATGGTGTTAATGTCTAACTTCAACCAATCCACGAAGTTGCGCCACCGTACACCATTGTCTTCAGTGAGCCGATATCTCACAACACAACTGGTTGAACTCCACAGTGGTCTAGACTGATAGGTCCTGGGTTCGAATCTCGCAGAGGACGAGGTCGTGAATGCGCACTGCTGAGGAGTCCCATACCACGACGAAACGGCCGTCCAGTGCTTCCACGTTTTGGGTGGTGGTCTAGCTTCAATTGACTCATGATTTTAATCTGTGAAATTTTTAAAATCTCAACAAACCCCTTCTGATAATTATGTAATAATGAAAGGGTTTGAATATAGTTGACAAGATGATATTAGAGTTATCTAACGAGTAATCAGTAAGATATTAAGGTTCACTAAGGAATTATGATGAAAATAGATGGTAGATGCATTCTAAATGAGGATAAGAGTCAGAAAAGAATCATTAATCTGAAACTATCTCCTTCAACTCATGAAGGTTGAGAGAATTAGGAAGAACTCCATACTGAAGAGGAAAGCATGGAATACAATTGGAATAATGGAATCAATTGAAAGTTATGTGAATCTCAGACGGCTCATATATACGAACCCGTAGAGGAAAAAAAGTAGTGCAACGACGTTTAATTGTGTACGAAAGATGGTGGCTCGGCACTCAGTAAGTAAGGCCAAATGAGCATTGGAGATATTTCGGTTGAAAGCAGATAATTTAATGTGGACTGATTTAGAGTGAATTTGAGTGAGAATTAGTGATGATGAGACAGGTATTCGGAGTTTGATAACGCTTTAACCAGTAACACCTTCTACTATGAATCGTATCGACCAAGTGAAATCAAAGGAGAGAAGCTAGGAGGTTCGAAGATATATTTGATAGGCTATCAATATATCGAGGATCGAGTGATCTAGACTGGCCAGCGATTACAGGAGATATTGAGCACGGTGTTCTCATTCGTGATCAGTTGCACATGCATCAAAACGACAGTAGACTATGTGGTGTAAATCACTGTGTGAATTTCGCGAGATGTTCCCTCCGCGAAGACAGACATTCAGGTAAAAATACTCACTATTCAACCAGAACTTGTGTGTGACAAAGGTGACAATTAATCATGTTACCGGGAAATTCAAAAATTCACAAATTTCAGTGGTAAAATGGTGTGATTATTAACCGTTAGTTTCTGCGTGGGCAATGCTGTGTGAAATGTGAATTTGATTTGGTATATGTAACAGGTTTGAGTGATTAAAAGTGTTCATTGGAGTGGTAGTATTTGGTGATGAGGTAGGTTAAAATTAACATGATGACGTCATGGTATATTACTTGTGAAGAACTAATGACGTCGTATGTGTGGGTAAGATGGAGTAAGTGAGTGATTGGTTGAGTGGGTTGGTGGTTGAGTTGTATGTGTTGCGAATTGTAGTGATGACGAATGTGTTGTTGAATATGGATGTAGAGTGAATGTGTGGAATTTGTGTCTGGTTATTGTTCAGTGGGAGTTGAGTGATTGTGATTGAAGTGAAGTGAGTGAGTTAGCTGTGAGGTTAGGTGGGGTGATGTGAGGTGAGTGATACACATGAGATGTATGTAATTGGGAAAAAGGCCAACCGAAAGTAGCCGATGTTTCATGCCTCAGGAGAGTGGGCATCAGATGCCCTGTCCGATCTTGTGCAGGGGACTGCCAACCGTCACTCCTTTTCTAATGCACAATTTGTAGTCCACAACACTAACAGACCTTACAACAACACGCTTCACACTCACATCTGCAACAGCTTTGCACGTCTCAACGCAATCTTCTTCATACATCAACAAACACACCACACACTCTTCTACACATAATCTACACTCCACAACCTCATCACTCACCAACACTACTGCATAAACTCAACAATTCACCATCACCTCATCAGTAGTATATTCAGTTTACACAACGAATTATCGATCATGCATTCCACTAAACAACAAACTACTGTCGAGCATTTCAGTAGCACAGTGAAGTCAACTAAATATCATCGGTTTGTGTTGTATCGCCTTGCGTTGCATTGCATTGCGTTAAGTTGCTTTGCGTTGAGTTCCATTGCATCACATCCAATCGGGTTGCGTTCTGCTGCACCATCTCCTGGTCTCATATTTCACTCACACACGTGATAGTCACAACTTGACAACTTGACGTCAGCAGCACATCTAAACACTTTTCACTAGTTGCATTACAGAGCAACAACACCAGATATTTGTGCAGACCAATACAAACCACAATCAGTCAACTGGGTTGACCGCGAATTTCATAAGTAGGACAACATGGTTGGAAGTGCTTTAATTTGTTGATGTTTAGAAATTCTGTGATTTTCAATTGACATTGATCAATCAGTGGTTGACCTGACTTGATTTATGCCTAATACTATGTGGATAGTGGATGCAGTAACAACAAGTTATATTCCACTGATCCTGTATATCTGTTTGTGTGTGATTGATTGATTGATTGACTGATACACAAGACAGTGTTCTCAAATTTCCTTCTCCTCTTCTCTCCTCCACATTCTCATGTCGATCGTTAGCGTCGTTAGCGTCGTACTCACGCACACGTTTCTCCACTCTCCCACCTTCTTAACATCAATGCACTCGGAAACTAGACGACCAGCGATTCACAGAATTTACAAATTGTGTATGTGTGTGTGCATGTGAAGATTTTGGGTGTATTCAGTGATTATTTTGGGAAACATGCCAACCTCAGTAAAGATTGTGAATGATTAATGGTGTTGTGTGTGCGTATGATGGAGTTAGTGAGTGATTGGTTGAGTGGGTTGGTGGTTGAGTTGTATTTTTGCGAATTGTAGTCTCGTTGCAAGACTGCTAAAATCCTTTGCGATATGTGTGGCACACAAACCAACAAAATCATTATAATCAATCCTGTGCAATTCAAAGTATGATATAACAAAGGTAAACAAATCAAACATCATCTACAATATAAATTTCACCAAGTGCGACAAACACTACATCGGACGAGGCGTACCTCCCCTCCACCTACGCCAACATGAACATCAATTAGCAGTCACACGACATGATATCTCTTCACTTATATCAATACACGTGGATAACTGCGGACACTCATTCGATTGGGACAATGTAGAAATCTTAGACAGAGGAAACTCCAAAACACCAGAGAATTTTTAGAAGCCTGGCACTCAGGTCAATCAGCAATCAACAAACATATTGAAATCAATCCAATTTATCAACCAATCAGGAAAATCATGCATAAATATAGGAACAAAAATCCAATCAATGGGAGACACAACCAAAACAAAGAAGTAAACAATGATAAATTTAAGGTCAACAAGAACCAATCAACATCGAGGTGCACAGAACAAGCTAAGAAACACAAATGGAGAAATTTGAACACTTCACTTCTAACTGAAGTTTGTGCTGATGATGTCGTTCAGAAGGACGATGAAAGCTCCACAACCAAACCATCCAGCTCAGAGAACAAAACTCCACCAAAATCGATGACAATGGCGTAGTTGTATGTACTCTTTGTCTTCTTTTAAACTAAGAGATTAACATCGCTTTATATCTTTCTTCCAACGAACTAATACTTTCTTCCTGTATTATATCCTTATATGCAATTTTTCTTTAATATATTACCACGACTGTCTTAACCACTCCTATGAATTCGGTGCCCATCTTGCGGTGCTAATGCGGTATGGCAACTTGGACAGATGCTTATATGTGCCTGGTTCTACGTTGTAACTGACTAACTGACTGACTATGCAGTGATCATTTTCATTTCAGATCAAGACAATGAATGATAAAAGAGATGTTATTTAGTTAAAATACGATAATAATAACTGTAATCATAAATTTCATACAACACAAATATACAAAATTATATAAGTAGTTTATAAGTAGTATAAATTCATAGGAATGATAATACTGTTTATATCGTTTTCTCTCTTTTTCCTTTCTCTCCTTTTATGTTCGTTTGATTTATTAAATCAATTAAAGAAATTAATGAACAAGTAAATTGTTATTTTTAGATAATTTTAAAAAATCTTTTGTTACTACTGATAAAGAATCTGTAAGTAGTACTGGTGATTCATGTGAAGAAGAAGATTGTGTTGAACTATTATTCATTGTCATCCATCTTGAAGTTGATGTTGTTGTTGTTGTTGTTGTTGATGATGATGATGATGATGATGATGATGATGATGATGATGATGATGATGATGATGATGATGATGATGATGATGATGATGATGATGATGATGATGATGATGATGATGATGATGATGATGATGATGATGATGATGATGATGATGATGATGATGATGATGATGATGATGATGATGATGATGATGATGATGATGATGATGATGATGATGATGATGATGATGATGATGATGATGATGATGATGATGATGATGATGATGATGATGATGATGATGATGATGATGATGATGATGATGATGATGATGATGATGATGATGATGATGATGATGATGATGATGATGATGATGATGATGATGATGATGATGATGATGATGATGATGATGATGATGATGATGATGATGATGATGATGATGATGATGATGATGATGATGATGATGATGATGATGATGATGATGATGATGATGATGATGATGATGATGATGATGATGATGATGATGATGATGATGATGATGATGATGATGATGATGATGATGATGATGATGATGATGATGATGATGATGATGATGATGATGATGATGATGATGATGATGATGATGATGATGATGATGATGATGATGATGATGATGATGATGATGATGATGATGATGATGATGATGATGATGATGATGATGATGATGATGATGATGATGATGATGATGATGATGATGATGATGATGATGATGATGATGATGATGATGATGATGATGATGATGATGATGATGATGATGATGATGATGATGATGATGATGATGATGATGATGATGATGATGATGATGATGATGATGATGATGATGATGATGATGATGATGATGATGATGATGATGATGATGATGATGATGATGATGATGATGATGATGATGATGATGATGATGATGGATAGGAAGGTAAAGAACGACTAAATATAGATTTATAACAACCAAATTGTATAATTGAGCCATGTCCTAAATTAGCAGAACCTTCCCAACCAGTGATTAAATCGAATGATGAATCTGTTTTAACTACTAGAAATTTATCATTTCGAGTAAAACGTAAACTTGTACAATCACATATAGATGTCATATGTGATAAATCCTGGTAAAGTATATAAAAGAAAAGGGAATAGGTATAAATAAGGATAATAATAATGATTGAGAATGAGAAGAGTCAGTGTGCCTTGTTGAAATAATCTGACAGGGAAATCCTACTTTCACTGTATTGTCGTCAAGGTGTTTTTGTTTATGAAATTAAGAGGATGAAAAGTGAAAGTTTGACGCTTTTAATGAGTTTGTGAGTGTGAAGAATCCACTTGTGGCAGTTGAAGAAACCCTCACTTCAAACTGATGGTGCACATGGGCTCTAGTATGCTGAGAGAACAAACGGCTTATGAACTGATTGTTGTTCACTAGCTACCATGGGACTGCATCTCCTGACGTTGCTCCACTACATTGTGGATTAGACCTGTAAGTCAAAGGCTCGGGGTGTGGCCCCCTAAGAAACGCACATGAGTCGGTTTGGACACCCGTGCAGCATCCCAGCCCTCACATAAATTGAATGATTCATGTGGAGCATATCTGTTTAGTGACTCCTCGTACCAATGTTTATGTGTTTAAATAAAATAAATAATAATAATAAACGAGTGAGTGAGTTTGTCTTATAACCGTCTGAGACGTCAGTAGTGAACGGGTTCCAATGATGATATCTTCTATTGAATAATATCTATCTAAATCCATAGAGGAGCATGCGAGTTTTTCAAAGTGTAAATATGACTTGCTGTTCAATGTTAAATTAAGGGTTCAAGGATTTCTTGTCAATTTACTGGAAAACATTTAATTAGACTACCACAATGTCTTACTTTTTCAGTTTGCATTAAGGAATATACATATAACTTAAACGCATAATCATAGGTACAAGGAGGCACCAAATAGCTATGCACCACACTTTATCATTCGATTTGTGTGAAGGATAATGCCTAAACTGCATCACGAGGCTAGTACTTATTGGAATACTAAAGGCGAACGAAAAAGAGGAAGGCCAAATAACACATTGAGTCGGGAACTGAAGGCCAACATGAAAAAGAATGAATAGCAACTGGGAAAAGGTGGAAAGGATTGCCAAGGAGAGATATGAATGAAGAATGGTGGTGGGCGGCCTATGCTACTCGACGAGGGGTAACTGGTATAAGTAAATAAGTAGGTATCCTCTTTGCTTGTTGATAAACTCTATAATTTCCACTATCATGTGTCACAACTAGTCTTTATTTTATTATTACAGTTAGCCGTTTTAATTTCAGACACAGACGCGCTAAGAGCCACAGATACCTCATAAGTTGAGGTTTGTTGATAATTTATGTCTATTCCTCAATAAAGAAATGTTTTCAGACAAATTGTTGTATTGTGAACTTTGGTTTCGCGTGTATCTTAGTTCTATAATCAGACATATCAGTATTCAAAAAATAGGAATTAATGGATAGTTGTTTCTTCTTAGTAAGAGATTACACTCTTAACTCCACCAGGAATGACAACCGGAAGCTTCAATTCTATTGACTAACGTTTATTCATTAGAACAATTGGTTGTGGGTCCATTAAAATTATGTTCAGTTCAGGATAGACAGCAACAATCATCTACCACCATCCAGTGAATACTTGTTGCCTTACATTGTTCCAACTCGCTCGCTTTCCACTCCTTTTTATATTGTGTTCTATACTACTTATTTACATTCAGTAAGCAGTTGTATTCCCAACAATCTTTACACTTATGTTGTAATGCAAGTTGTAGTGTAATATTTGAAATGTTCACATATACTTATAACGTTTATTGTACCTATCATTGTATTTATCATTATAATTACTGTACCTTGATCACTGTAGTGGTTATCCACATTTTCCATGATGTTTTGCTCTTGGTTCGGGTTTCCATTGTTCATAAACTGTTATCAAATTTAGACACAGCTATCAACCGTCCTTTGTACTATCGTATGTTGTAATTATTCTTTATGTTACTGTTACAGGAAGCCTTTTTATTTTCATACTTGAAAGACGTGTTTAAACGCCCCAGACACCTCACAAGTTGAGGTTTGTAACTACATTTTGTGTATTATTCAATAAAGAACCGCTATTGTAGACAAATCGTTGTTTTGGAAACTTCGGTTTTGCGCGTATCTCAATAGGGTGACTTGGACGCTTCGATAGATCTAACATTGAGGAAGTTTGATTCGTTCCATTAAAAGTGGAGTGATTATGAGTTACATCGTGAAACAACCCTGAAAATCATCATACACTTACTTTTCCAGTCATAGATATCAATAGGATAGTAATTAAAGCTCACAACATATATGGTTTGTCAGTAGGTAATTGATTATGTAATAATTGTGTTTTAATGGTAGTAACAATGAATAAGGTTAATAGTCTGAATGACGAAGCAGTAGTAGGTATTCCGTTCTCGTCCTCTTATTTTCGATTTTCCTAAATTTTTGTCTCCAAACAATCCACTTTCGATTAGTGATACATACTACTTATGACTGTCGAGATTGAGTAGCACACATCACACTAAAACTACCGACATCCTACTCGAGATGTAAAATTAGGTGACTGAGATACAGATGAAGACAGTACTGTGTATTATACAATTCATTAAGAAATTCTTCGCAATGATCAGTGTTTAAAATGATGAGTCATGTTTCATCATATTAAAAACTCGCTACATGGATGATCGTACTAATTTTGGAATCCAGTATTTCGATATCTTATAACCTTTTAGTGTAAACGCATGTGATCAGGAATATTGTTCAACCCAAACCAATGTACACACTGTAGGGAAGTCCGAATCAGAATGAACCGTCCTATCGTTGATTCCATTGCCAGTAGTCATACTAAATGAGGTCAGTTTGTAGATGATAACGGTATCAATACATCTGGACTGATGAAATTCAGTCATTAATATCAAAAATGACAGTAAAAGCCCTCACAATCAGTAGAACGAAACAGTTATTAGATCTTGATAGTTGAATTCATGAGTCAATGAGGGCTAGAGCATAATCGACAACCTGGAAGAACTGAACGGTCAATTCCTCCTCAGCAGTGTGCATCCACGATCCCTTTTACAGGGTTCCAACACAGCGTCCTATACACCTTTATGAGTGGTAAGATTGAGAAAGCACAAGCCAACTTCCATCTGGAGAGGAAATTAGGAAACGTTGTTGGAAGTGGATAAAACACACATTGAAGTAATCACCGAACTGCATCGCGAAGCAAATCATTAACTTGAGATATTGAATGGAAACGGAAAACAGGAAAGTCAAAAAACACATTACGTCAGGAAATGGAAACAGATATGAAAAGGATGAATAGAAACTGGAATAAACTGGAATGGATTATCCAGGACAGATTTGGATAAAGAATGCTGATGGCCAGCCTATGCTCCTCCATAAGGAGTAACAGGCGTACACAAGCTTCTTTCAAGTATATATTTCTCTCTGTTTATATAAAACGCCATATCTGTGACCACATTTATTTATTATTATTATCCAATCAAATAATTTTATCCAATTAGAAACTAAAAATTAAAATATAAAAATCAGCATTTTAACCAATTAAGAAATAATATTTAAAACATACCTGGAAACAACAGTTAAATGGATATATTCCCTTTAAACATGTATCTATGCATGTATGTATGTGTGTATGTATGTATGTATATGTGTGTGTATGTATCTATGTAGTTAAGTAGGTATGTATGTTAGTAAATAGGTAGGTAGGCAGGTAGGTAGGTAGTTAGGTATCAATGTAAGTATGTGACGATTACATAACTTTGTCCCGTTTTCTAATATTTGAACTCACTATTATCATCATCATATTCATTTAACTCTTATTTATTCGAAATATTGCCATATTGTTAATTTAGAACAACATAGATGTATAAGCGAACAATATTGTTTTCGATTAGATCCTCATCAGGCTTCACTTCTAATATACAGTAATATTTATATGCATATACCAAATTATTAAACTAATCAAGGTAGTTTATAAGTCAATGATCACAATGGAATAGATTACATAATAAGTAAAATGTGAAAAGTACAAATGGATGGTGTGACAACAGATGCATTCGTTTTTGATAAGCAATAATAATAAAGGGTCAAATCAATGTTACATAATCTGAAATAGGTCAATGATTAGGAGAAAATATAGACAATGAGATAACAATTATGAAGATTATAAGATGACGTAATAAGAAATGTTCAGATAATTGGACCATGAAACGTATAGTGGAGAGAAAACAAAGTGGTAGGAGGGTGTGAAGAAAAATAATAAACGAAGAGAAAGTTAGAAAAGGAATAAATAAATAAATAAATTCATTTATCACTTAAGGCCAGGGGAGAGATAAGGGTGTTACAAATTTCTTCTGAACACAAAGACTTGGCTTGTTAGTGATTTTCTTATGAATGATGAAAATCAAGAAAAAAAAGAAGAAAAAAAAGAGAAAAATCAATCAATATGATCAATGGCGTTTTTCTTCCGGAATTTTTTTTAAATTTTTGACTAGTGTAGTGTCAGTTATTATGTCAAGCTCATATACCTTATTCTAGCTTTCGGAAATCCTATTTTAATTCATTTTACTTGAGCCATATTTTCACTTACTTACAGCTGTTACTCCTCGTGAAGGAGCATAGGTCGCTCACCAGCATTCTCCATCCAACCCTGTCCTGGGCAATCCTTTCCAGCTCCTTCCAGTTGTAATTCATCCTTTTCATATCTGCTTCTATTATCCGACGTAATGTGTTCTTTGGCCTTCCTCTTTTCCTCTTCCCTTCAGGATTCCAAGTTAGGGTTTGCCTCGTGATATAGTTTGACAATTTGCATAATGTATGTCATATCCATTTCCATCGTCTTTTGCTAATTTCTTCTTCAGTTGAAAGCTGGTTTGTTCTCTCCCACAGAAGGCTGTTGCTGATTGTATCCGGCCAATGGATGTTGATTATCTTGCGTAGACAGCTATTTATAAATACTTGTACTTTCTTGATTGTGGTTGTTGTAGTTCTCCAAGTTTCAGCTCCATAGAGTAGAATTGCCATGACGTTCGTATTGAAGATTCTCACTTTGATATTGGTTGAAAGTTGTTTTGAGTTCCATATGTTCTTCAATTGTAGGAATGCGGCCCTTGCTTTGCCAATCCTCGCCTTTACGTCTGCATCTGAACCTCCATGTCTATCGACGATGCTTCCCAGATGAGCCATATTTTCACCTTGTCATCAGGCATTCCTTCATTCCTTACCAGAAACATACAACCTCCCCAACTAACCACAATAGGACTAGAATTGCCCACCGCACACAAGGAAGCCATAACGTTGGGCTATTTGGTAACCCACCTACTGATTCTAGGTACTATCTAAGTCAAGCCACCCAATACAACGGTTTAGTCCCCCCTAATTCGACATACACACTATCTCATCCTTTTCTCTCTCCCCCTCAACATTACTGCTATGAGGTCTCCAGATGTTGAGGGCGACAATCCCACTATTCTGAAACCATCTATATACTCCGATTTAATGGCGAGTGGCACATCCTACTCAGCTTCGACAACTGTCTCTAGTCTTGAAAACTCCTTGACTGAACCCCCTGATCATTCCCCGGACACATTACCTAACCATTCAACTCTACCTTCCACTCATAGACATACTTCTTTCACCAAAACCACACCCGAATACCCTTCTTGCATTAACCCTACTGGTAATAAACAAAACGCTCATCAATATGGAGTCAACGCTCCCAATTCTTCTTTTTCTCATGGCAAAACAGACAAACCACTGGGTTTACATCACACCCTTCTACTAGACAAACAGTCACCGTACCTGACACTTATGTTAATCAACGCTCGATCTGTACAAAGTAAGATGACTTAACTACGCACCCTATTACTTCTAAACAACCCCTCACTTGTTTTGATAACGGAAAGTTGGCATAAACAGGTAGAGGAACGTACTGCGCTCACTGCTGCATCTAAAGCCCAAGCCCTATGTCGTCTCCTCACGAAACGCATAAGAAAGAACACAGACCACAATATTCACTCCTTACTGCACGATGGAGTAATGCATAATGACCAAACCGTCATATGTGAACTATTAAGTGAATGGTTTTCGCACAATGGGAATACATCTGATGCTCCAGATATCGACATAAAGTGCACCGGCAAAAACTATCTTAGTACCATAAACTTCGACATTAGGAGTATACATACCGCCATTAAAACCCTTAAGCCAAATGCGAGTTCTGGTGCCGATGACATCCCTTCAATCGTTTATAAAATGTCAGGGCCGGACATACAGACGCTACTACTCAAAATATACACATTATCTTTAGAGACAGGTACATATCCGGAAACCTGGAAGGTAACGTATGTTCTTCCCAAACACAAATCCGGACCAACAAACCTGGTTGAAAACTACAGACCTATAAATATCACTCCAGTCATATCACGCATAATGGAAAAAGTGATACAAAATCAACTATCTGATCACCTACTCAAGGAAGATCTAATAGACCCGTCACAACACGGCTTCATTAGAACAAGGTCGTGCAGTACATGCCTGATAGACTTCTTTAACGAGGTTACTCGTATACGTGACCAGAAGAAACTAGTTATTATACTATACTTCGATATTAAGAAAGCCTTTGATAAAGTACCTCATAATCTTCTAATCAACAGACTGAAGTCAGTTGGAATTATAAATCCCCTTTTGCAATGGATCAAGTCTTTTCTTACGAACAGATATCAAATAACCAAGATTAACTCTAATACATCTACACCTCGACCAATAACCAGTGGTGTTGTGCAGGGTAGTGTCTTGGGTCCATTGCTCTTTATAATCTACATCAACAATATATGCAAGTGTTTTAGCACAGGTAAGACCTACCTCTATGCCGATGACTTAAAAGTCATCTATAAAACTGACATTTGCGATTTACGCAGTACTATGCAAACAATCCAACATGAACTCAACATGGTAGATGACTGGTGCAAACGCTGGAGGTTAGAGCTCAACATAGAGAAATGCGGCTGGTTATGTATAGGAGACACGTCTCTTAAAATGAAACTAACACTTAGCAATCACACACTGCCCAGACTGGCATCAGTAACTGACCTAGGGGTACATTACTCACACAGTCTTAATTTCTCTGAACACATCTCAGCCAAAGCATCCAAAATGCGGAAATTGCTTGGCTTCATTCTCCGTAATTTCTATCAAAATGAATCTAGAATCCTTCTTTACAAAGTTTGTGTAAGACCTATCGTTGAATACTGCTCGTTCTTATTTTCCAACCTACGCCTATCTGATATACTAAAGGTGGAAGGAATACAACGAGACTTCACCCGCAAAGTACTTAAGACTGACTCGGTCATAGACTACAGTTCCCGATGCCAAATCTTAGGAATAGCACCCCTTCGGGAGAGAAGGCTTAGGTCTAATTTGATTCTCTACTTCAAACTACTCAAAAACCTTACTTATTCATCGTGTAAGATAGTTCTTGCCCGAGATTCACATGAATACGGACTTCGAAACAAAGTATCTACGGTCAAAGTTGAGAAATACAGATCAAAAACTCGGGAAAACTTCTTCCTCACCAAGTATGCAATAATATGGAACAGTCTTCCCTCCGAAACTCGCATGGCAGATGAAATACATACGTTTGTAAAACTGCTTGATCAAGCCCTCACTCGCACTGATCTTGCACGTACGAACACATCTGCGCCCCACTCACACATCATAGGCTCTCTCCATGTCTAGACCAAAATGGACTTCAAGTTCAGTTTGCCTTATTTTTCCTACTTTGCAGTTGTATTAATTACTTTTTCCACCCTATTTCTTCACTTGAAGTAGACAGGTAACTCACTGGACCTATCATTACTGTTAAACTAAACTCGGTCGATAAGGGACACTCACTACCACCCTAAAAAGTCAAGAGGACCGCACAATCGGCTGCCTACTACCAGTGGTCTCGCATCTATGGAGCCTGTTACCAATCAACTGGTCAAGACAACAGAAAATATCATCAGCACCAAGTTACTGTGAGTTTCTTCCTATTTATCCTGTATTAACTTTCTACTCTTCTGTACACTATGTTGACTAGCAATTAATATTATTTCTCCACTCGTTCCCTTATCCACAACTCATATACTTCCATACTTTTTCCGCCTGCTTAAATAAACAACTATCCTACAATATACGCTTCTTGACGCTTATACTCTGATTGGCAAACTATACTTTATACTATAGTCAACAGAGGCACTGCACCGATGCTTTACCCACAGTCCATAGCTTGTAACTGCCTGATAAGCTTGTAAAATGGTACTTATAGAAATAGTGCTTTCCAACAGGTTGTGAAACAGAGGATTGTGTGAGGTATGACGTATATACAAAAATAAGCCTAAATGAGCCTAACATCACAAAAGGAGGGAGGGTGGAGTTACTGACCAGCAAGCATTGATGGTGAGGACGATAACTTCAATCCACCCGTGTTTGTGGGGACAGAACATTTTGTATGTATCAGGTTCCTCATGATTGAGAATAAGTCAACCAATTTGTGATATAGATTGTCTTCCTACGCTCACCACTCAGACTCATGTTTCCAATATTATGCTGGATTAGCTATTCTACTAAGACAACCTATAACATGCTAACTCGGACTTTTACACTAGGATTGTGTGGCTGGCATCGGATAGAAAAAAAAGATAACAAAATATATAGTCATTAGTATTCTTAACACTTCACCCTCTATATACACACCCTTCTAATAATCCGCTTCCCTTAGCTTCAATAGCTTCAATAATACTTCGACGCCTAATCAAAGCTCGTGAAGAGCAGATTAGAGAAAACCAGGCCGGTTTTCGACCTGGACGTGGTTGTATAGATCAGATATTCACACTACGTCAGGTCAGTCTTCAGTAATAAGGATAGTAGGTTGATGAACCTGTGTTAATCCTGACACATTGCTTTCCAGTGAAGGTCCAGCTTTTCCTTGAAAGTATTCACTGATGGGGCTGATACCACTTGTTCGGGTAAGGCGTTCCAATCATTGACTACTCGATGAGAAAAACGGGATCCCACTTTAAGTTTATTAGATCGTGGTTTATGAACCTTCTTGCTATGACCTCGGAGATTATTAGTGCTGGAGGGAGCAAAAAGATAAGACATATTAACACCCAAATCATAATTAAAGATACGAAATGCCAGTATAAGGTCACCTCGTGTCCTACGATACGACAAGGGGAAAAGATTTAGGCGTTTTAAGCGCTCATCGTAAGGGAGACTAGAAAGACCCTTCACTAATTTCGTTCCCACACGCTGGACACGCTCAAGGGAGTTAGTATCCTTTACTAGACACGGGCTAGCTGCTTGGATACAGTACTCTAAATGTGGTCTTACATATATGGGGTATAAAATTCGAAACGTTTCCTCGTCAAAAGATTTGAACGCTCGGCGAAGTGACCATAACGCACGAAAACCTTTGACAGCGGCTGCTTTGCAATGCGCAGTTGTTTTTAAGTCATGACTTAATATTACTCCTAAGTCCTTATGCTCTTGAACGCATGGAAGAGGTTTACCCTCAATAGTGTAACGGTAACTATTACCGTGACCGACGTGCATTAGTACACTCTTCCTAGCATTAATTTCTAAGCCCCACTCTCGAGCCCATCTAACTAAATCGTCTAAATCAGCTTGAAGATCCACATGATCAGCCGCACTTTTTATTGTTCTCCAGATTTTTACATCATCTGCAAACAATAATGTCGACGACCTAAGTAACAGTGGTAACTCATTAACGTAGAGAAGGAAGAGCAGAGGGCCTAAGATGGTGCCTTGGGGTACACCACTTTTGACCGGCTTCCAATCGGATAGCGTTCCATTGACCCTAACTCTCTGTCTGCGGTCACATAAGAAATTTCCTATCCACTCATGTACAGTACCTATTATTCCGAAGCTCGTGAGCTTCTGCATAAGACCTACGTGTGAAACCTTGTCAAACGCTTTGCTAAAATCTATGAATATCACGTCGACAGACAGACCGTGATCTAGGGCTGCTGTCCAATCCTCCCTCGCAATAAGCAAGTTAGTCAAGCATGAACGCTTGTTACGAAATCCGTGTTGCTCAGGAGCTAACAGATTGTGTAAATCTATGTGGCTTAGCAACCTAACCCGAATTATCTTTTCGAGTAACTTAACGACTATGCTAGTTAGACTGACAGGCCGGTAGTTAGATACTATCTGTCGCTGACCGTCCTTAAATATAGGACTAACTATAGCGTCCTTCCAATCTCTAGGGAGTTGGGCGAGTGAGAGGGACATGTTGAAGAGTGTCGCAAGCGGTTTTGAAATAATGTCCGCAAGAGATGACAGCAACCGTGGATGTAACCCGTCAGGGCCCGGTATCTTACCAGGTTTGAGGTTAGTTATCAACGGAAGGACAGTTTCCTCAGTCACCTGTACGGATTCAATGGTTGGTATCTCGGTGTGAGTGGGACAAGTATTTGTTACAATAAACGTAGAGAAGACTTCGCTAAAATAATCTGAAAAAGTCTCAGCTTTTGCTCGATCTGATTCAGCTAGTAATTCTGAATTTTCGTGTAACAGCAACGGGGGAATACCATCACTACGTTTCATTTGCCGTTTAACATACGAAAACAATCGTTTCGGACAAGTACGGCTATCATATACTAACTGTCGTTCGTAAGTGGTACGGGATTTCGCTATGGTTTTCTTACAGATATTACGGTATTTTTGATACTCACGCTTAAATGGTGCATGACCTGTCAACAAGAATAAGTCCCAGAAATGTTTCCTACGCTTTAACAGCTTCCGGGTTTCCTTATTAATCCATGGAGGGCAATGTGATAGCTTACGTGCTGACCATGGGATAAACGGCGACGTTACGGACTCGAATGTAGCCTTAAACTTATTCCATTCATCTTCGATCAATCCATCCGCGTCGACCGACCAATCGGTCGAGATAGCACGGTTTCTGATTTCCGGAATATTAGCTCGCCAGATATTGGGACGGGGTGGAGCAGATACGAATTGTATACCATGTGTCCTAAACTTAAAGTGAATTACAACGTGATCACTGTTCACTAGTGGAGGAAGGTGCTGGATATCAAAGACATCCTCAGAGTGGTGGGTGAGGGCGAGGTCCAGCAGTGACGGAACATGATGCAAATCAATATGTGTCGGTTTTGTGATACATTGTACAAGTGCACACTGAATAACGGTAGATAAAAGGTCGCTATCGAAACCGCTACCTGGAGCTGTAAGCTCTATCCAGTTGATATGCGGTGCGTTGAAGTCCCCAATGATGAGACAACATTCTGCCATACTCCAAGAACAGATGTGTCTTAGGATAAAGTCGTCAGCCAGACAAGACGGACTACGGTATATTCCCCCTATAGTCACTAACCCATTTCTAGATTTAATCTTACAACATGCAACCTCACATGTGCCACTGATATGAGCCTCCGATATGGTTGATTGTATACGAAAGTGATCCCTAACGTAAAATATTATACCTCCCCCTTGCGACTTGAAACTCTATCACTTCTGATACAGATATAACCAGCAATGAAAGGAGAACAGTCTATATCAACGGTGAACCAAGTTTCTGTAACAACGATTATATCGGGACATAATTCTTGCACCATCAGACTTAGCTCGGACGTTTTATTTCTAAGACTACGAGCGTTCGTGTAGCACACACTTAAGGTGTTTTGGAAATCAATCGTTCTACCCATACAGGCCTCGGAAGCATTGGCTTCCAAGACCTGACTACCCGAAAACCCTTAATGGTAAGGTTATTTTCGCCATTTAATTTGCGAGTCCTCAACTCCGTAAGAGCATTCTTCCACTTGATTCGATCCTCAAGCGGCCAATCTGGTCGAATACGGATATTTGAGGCACGAGTTTTTTGTGCGCTTTTCAATAATATGTCTCTTTCTTCGAAACTCCCGAGAACCAGCTTCAGGATCCTTCTTGGTTGGGTCTCGCCTCCAACCCATTTACCAAGTCGTATTACTTTTGTAATATGTACCCCTGAAACCTCTTCAGGTAGTACATTCCTGACCACAGACTCCACTAACTGTAGGTCATGTGCGTGTCTTTTAGCAGGGTCGTTGTCTTTCGACTCCTCTAGATTCCAAATAATTAAACTAGGGATGGGTTTAGCTTCTTTTGAAACTGTGTTCACAGCTTTCGACCGTGACGTTAGATCCTGTATTTTAACTACTGGTAGCTTACGATTAGTTTTTATTTTAACAGAGTCCTGGGAGTCAAGCGAATGACTCACAACAATGTCAGACGAAGCTTTACTATGAGACTTTGGCGGATTGGTCTGAGAGTCCACCAAGGACTTACCAAGTAAACAGTCATTAGTTTTAGCTATCTTTCCTACTCTTCTGCGTTTTCGCGTCATCCATTTTCCATCAGTCGAAACGTCTACATTAGAACAACTCGGGACAGTAATTGTTTTATCTGGGTCACCGGTTGCTGCTGTAGCAATATGGCCACCAACGTCTAATGACGTGTCACTCACTGATCGTTTCGGGGGAGAACGTTTAACTGTGGGTTGCACAGGTAGATGTCTGGCTTGCGCCGTGATAGCACTTACGACACTAACGCAATCTTCGCCATCCGTACCAATGTTATCAGTACAGCCCTCATCAACCTTCTTATTAGCCAACACCAGGAGACTAATTGCTTCCTGGATAAGCAATGTTTTGCTCGAGCAACAAAAACTACAAAGCCAATGAGAGTTGGGCTTTGAACACCTTTTATATGCAGTGGGGCTTAATCGGGTGCACATCTTATGGAACCACTTATTACACTCATCACATTGCATCCCTTCATCCACGGGAAATAAGCAGTATGGTTGTCCACATTTATGAGTAGACCTAGCCATCTTGAAAATCAACTAGAACGGTGACAAAAACAGGATATGTAAAAGGATTTTCAAACCTTAACTAAATAAACCAAGTAAAAGTCGACCAAGTATGCTTCGATGCAATAAATACACAGAAGCAAAATCGAAAAACTCAATAAAATATCACTTTAACTGGGGTAGATGCAATTAAAGTGTAAACAGTAGTTTTGATGCGTAATTTACGATCAAAACAGTTAATTAACTCAACGAGAAAGAATAGGCAACGCTCCTAGGGTATCGTCCACTGATGAGCTTACTCCAACTTGTTAAACATCACAACTCATTGTTCTTTATTAGTACATTCTCTAATATGGAGCCTCTGACTTCACTTCACTCTAACAAGACATAATATGAATTTATTCTAATTTATTATACCTCTGTCCGTTCTACTACACAATGTTAAGCAACGTTTGGCGTTCATATCCGAGTGCCTTGCTGCTCTTCTGTTTCTCTTTTTTTCTTCTTCAGAATCTTGCTCTGAGAGCACAGCTATGAAACTTCTGACGTTTGGAGCAAACTTGACGTACGCGCCCTCTCAAGGTCATAGTTTACAGCAAGCGCTCTACGATTTCACTTTATAACAACTATAAACTTAATAAGTTGGGAAGCATTTTGTGAACCAACAAATGTTGTAATTTATAGATCATGCGTGTAAAAACGGTGTATACCTGCACATGCAGAAATTTATTATTATTATTAACAGTTTCCATAAAGTTTTGCTCTTGGTTCGCTTTTTCATTAACTGTTATCAAACACAGGTATCAACCGTCTTTTGTAGTATCGTATGTTGTAATTATTCTTTATGTTACCGTCACAGGAAGCTTTTTTATTATCATACTTGAAGGTAGTGTTTAAACGCCCAACACACCTTACAATTTGAGGTTTGTAACTTAATATTGTGTAATATTCAATAAAGAATCGCTATTGTAGACAAATCGTCGTTTTGGAAACTTCGGTTTTGCGCGTATCTCAATCGAGTGACTTGGACGCTTCGAAAGATCTAACATTGATGAAGTTTGATTTGTTCCATTAAAAGTGGAATGATTATGAGTTACATAGTGAAACAACACCTACTTTTCTAATCATAGATATGAATAGGATAGTAATTTAAGTTCACATTATATGGTTTGTCAGTAGGTAATTGATTGATATACATTATGTAATAATTGTGTTTTTATGGTAATAACAATGAATGAGGTGAATAGTCTGAATGAGGGATTAGTAGTATATTCCATTCTCATTCTCTTCTTTTCGATTTTCTCAATTTTCCGTCACCAGACATTCCACTTTCCGATTAGTGATACAGACCACTTTTGTCAATTTTGTAAAAAACAGTAATGCTACGAGAAAACGGACAGTAGGATTTCTCCGGTAGTGTCTGTCTACGCATGACTATGTGAGAGCATTTGTAGAGCGAGAGATAACGTTCCCCATTCTCGAGTTTGCTTTTCGCCTTCATGTGGTGTTTGAATGAACTAATGATACCTTTGTACTGGTTGAATGCTTGATTTCAAATTCTAAATACAATACATTCGTTGGTGCCTGTGTCTTCTTAATTCAATTGCGTTAATCCTGGAATTCCTAATTCATACGATAATTAGAATACTATATTGGCGTCGCGATGGAGCCTGCAATGGAAAAGTTAGATATTCATTCAACTTCGGAAGCTTTTGAAGATTACTTTGAAAGGTTCGAAATCTGGGCTATGACCAAGGAAGATGATGAGGATGTTAATATTGTGGCACACTTCCTCACATTCATTGGGAGAGAAGCATACAGCTTATTAAGAATTCTGACTATGCCGGAAAAGCCTATCTCGCTTCCTTATACAACTCTCAAAGAACTGCTGCTAGACTATCTTAATTATACAAATTTCGAATGTGGTAAAAAAGGAAGATCTCATAAAATGACTCATGAGGATATAAAACATTCTACTACATTACTCTGTCATCGTGACCCAGTGCATACTCAAGGTTATGCAGATAGTTCATTGAGGAGTTGCGATGCAGTTCACGAGGATGGGCATAAGTTTGCTCAATGTTTGTTCTGTGGCAAGTTTCACTCTTTTAATTCATGTAAATTTCGTAATTCTAAATGCTTTAAATGTGGTGATATTGGACATATTCAGTCAGTCTGTAATACTACTGTTCATGTTACTGCAACTAATATCAAGTCTTGTAATTCTGATTCTACTGAGTCAAGTATTCATGATGAACATTTATCTTTATCAACGATTTCAAAAGACAGTGTAGAGTCATATGGCAGTTCACAGTTAGATGAAATCCAGAATTTTTGTGAGACAACAGTTCCTAATCAACCGATTTATCAGAATTCTCATGCTATTGTACCAGGTATGACTTTTCCTAATGATTCACATATTTCTAATGAAATTACTTGCAATTCTGAGGAAAATATGTTAAATGAACCTAATCATGATCAAAAACCTTATGTGGTTTGGATAGATGCTGATTTTTCTAACGATCCTACGCCCTGCAATGACAGTCCTAATGAATTTCATAAGAATATTTCAGAAGAATCAAATCCTGATGTCATATCATATATTACCTCTCTTCATAATGCATTTGATCCTTGTGAAAAACCTGCTCAATGCGAAGCACGAGTACTAAGTGACCTCGAGTTTGATCACATTTCGGATGATTTCATATCAACTGCTGTTTACCCTTATCACAAAAACAGTTCTAATGTTTACTCTAAACAATGTGAGAAATATGTTTTAAATGAAGCCACATTATTCATAACTTGGGGATATAAAGATCCAACATTATTTCGTGGGGGAGGATAGTGTTGAAAAATCTATGGTTCGAATTCGAGATATTAATGATTTCAGTACAAAACCGATATGCTGATTGTATACAATTCGAGGTGAGTCTGTTCCGATTTCGTTTGTTAATTCCAATACTAATGAGCACTTCCTAGATACTACAAAGTTTTAATCTTATACAATGTCGGACAGACTCAGGTTGAACTTAACAAGAAGACGTACAACCGATTACAAACACTTATACTTCTATTTAAGCTGTGGCGGATGTGGTGTTTGAATGAACTAATGATACCTTTGTACTTGTTGAATGCTCGATTTCGAATTCTAAATACAATACATTCGTTGGTGCCTGTGTCTTCTTAATTCAATTGCGTTAATCCTGGAATTCCTAATTCATACTATAATTAGAATAATATCCTTAACAATTTAGTAAATAATGTTAATGCTACGAGAAGATAGTGAGTAAGACTTCACTGTCAGTTGTTGTATGCACGTGGTCATGTGAGGGTTCATCGAGTGGGAGAGAGGACTCTACCCACTCTCGACCGTACCAGGGCATTTGGGAGCATAAACAAATACCGTTCGTAGATTTTCGCTTAAACTGTTATAGAGAAAACAATAATCTGATTCGATTCTCTACTGTCTTTCTGAAGTCATTCCATTAATGGATTTTTTTATTTGTATTTTCTTAATGAAAGAGCTTACTATTCTATAAAGATGTTTTTAGACCACTTATTACAATGTTATAAGTAGTTGAAAATCCTGTTGTAGTTTTATTATTATTAATACTATTATAAGTAGTAAGGATTGGGATGTTTGTGTGAACTAAGGATTCTTTTTGTACTTGATTGCTTGCTCCATTCATATTCCAAATACATCACATTCCTTCGTGCTTGTCAAGTACTTCTTTTTTGAATTGCGTTGTTTGTGAGAATCTTAGTTCATACTATAATTCGAAAATTCCTAGTTATCATTTAATTCCACCATTACTAATTCTATTTATATTGCAGGTATTATGACTACTTGAGGTGATGAATCGAATAATGTTAGTTGAACAATGAAAAAACTGGAAGCAGTGAACGTCGGTTCCGTCCAAGAATGGGATTCCTCAACAATATTTTACGACCATGGTCTATTGTTTCCGATGAGCAATAGCATCACACATGACATGGATGACCTGCGCAGAGAATTATGTGTATGAAACATAGTTTTTGAATTCCGTGTTCACGAAATCAAATAAGATTTGTGTTCAGTCGATACTTTCAACGTATGACAATGTGATCAACGTCATTCTGACGAAATTCCAAAGAATTTGGGAATCATCACTAACATTTCTATCTTTACACAACCCTGTGATGTAATGCGACCTTTCATATATCACACTGTTTAAAGATATAGAGAAAAGATGTATCAGTTGACAATGATAAAATACATGGATGCTTTAAGTGGATATCATTGCAATTAACTGAAATCTGTAAACATATATAGCGTATATATATGAGATCGAAACTGAATAATGTTTTATCTTTAGCAGAAGAGTAATTCAACTTAAATTATCTTGATACCCAGGCGTTTGCGATCGAATACACATAAATGAATCGTGGGTAGGCATCATCTCTCTTTAGTTATGAAAATAAATCGTGAATTTCTATGTCTAATTTGATTGTCTGTCATAATCGAATGAAAAGCGTTAACAGAACGGAAGCTCATTTCTTCGAATGTCTATCGATTATAACTCAAGTGTCCAGATTATATAGATATATATAGAGAATGACTTCATTCAACATGATCTTTCGAATAACCCACTCAATATTGTTATCCGATTCATCATTCCATAATCTCTTTTCAGTCTGTTAATGACGGCCTACTCCAATCATAACCACCTTCCAACGTATTCATGTATATTTTCCATTTTATAATTTGATATGGCCTAGTATGTCTGTTTGCAAATTACGTCTGCTTTCGTAAGACATTGTTAGTTAAGGCTTGTTACTGACTTCTCAAATCGAGAGAAAGGAGAAGGTGTGAATCTAATGAATTGTGGTTTATTAAAGATTTGAATCATGGTAACTACCGATTCTTGTACATATAAATGACTAGATTGAGTTCATTAATATCGGGATATTGATTCATGGTTTTGTTACGTGACAATAATACATTCGTTCCATGCTACTTGAAATTATGAAGACATGTTGTGGCATTGTCATTTTATTTAAAAACGCAAAGAAAATACCCAGGACATTGAAAACCAGGACACGCTCTAACACTTCATCAGAAAATGCTTATCAAACTGATCAGCAAACACTACATTAACAAAAAATATATTGAATGGATTCATTATCCTATTCCACGTGAACAACACCTTCGAAATCACAAAAATGAATTATTGGTGTCCTCCACAAATAGGTGTTTGCGCACAAATCCAATGAAATCTTTACAATCTATACCGTACAATCTAAAGAACACAAGAACAACTGGAGGCAAACCAACCATCATATACCAAATAAATAGTTGTGACTGATAGGAGAATTACATTATACAAAGTAAATATTGTTCAGGAAACAATTGCTAGAGGTGAGAATCGACGACATAGTTTCTCTGAAATCAATCCATGTGGATAACTGAAGATTGCGGAAAAATTGAATTACTGGATGGACGATACACAAATCCTTCATCTTTTAAAAGCTGAACAAACAATATAGATTTGAGTGGGTCATATACATGCTTAACTATTTTCCAAATAATTTAGATGCGGAACAAACATTTAGTGCTACGAAACAGTTACAAATCAATTA